AAAAAAAAAACCCCAAAACCAAAAAAATCAAACCTTAAAATACAAGTGAAAGGTTTTTACAAGAAATCCCAGGGGTTTACCATAAAGGGTAAATCAGAACTAGTATTAAAAAAAAAATCTAGCATGAGTCTCCCCACACATTGAGAAGTGGCTCTGAGGCACCTCGGGCTGTTTCTCACTGCTGCAGAAGAGAAGAGCACTCTGTCTCCACAGGGGTCAGAAGTGACACTGGTTTGCTTCCTCCCAGCTCCGGGAGCACTTTAGACACAGAAACTGGCTTTGGAAGCTCAGGACTATTTCTAAGGTGACTCCACACCTGGTCCCCAAATATCAAAGGCTATTTGGTACAGTTTCTCATAGTCAGGTGAACTCTGTGCGTCTGGGACAAAGACCTCAGAAGACCATCTTGAGAACATGGATGCCTGGCCTAAGCACCGAGTTTGACTCTTGAGGTTGGGATAAGCCAGCCTACAGTTCCTGGGGGTTCCTTTCTATGTGGAGTAGAAGAGAAGGGCCCATGGAAATGCACGGACTGGGGCTTCTCCCCTAAGGCTTCCAGGCCCCAAGACATGAACCCCTGGTTTTCTGGGTTTGGGTAATGAAGTATTCCCATCCCACTGCTGCCTGGCTGGGTAAATCAAGTGCTATCGCTTGGCTAGTGTTAGTCCTTGTCAGAAGCCTTGGCAGTACAATGGTTAAGTGCTTGACTCTGAAAGGTCAGTGGTTGGAATCACCAGCTACTCTATAATGGCAGTTTTCTTTTGTAAATATTTCAGGCTTAGCAACCCTATGAGGCACTTACACCCTGTCCTATAGGATCACTCTGAGTTGGAATCCATTTGATGGCAACAGGTAGGTATAGTGTTAGTCTTTAATTCCCTACTCCTTCTAGGACCCACGTGTGAAAAGCCCAGTCTTTGACTTTGTGAATAGTACCAGCTGCTAAGGGTTCAACAAAGAAGGCAAACTGTGTGGTCCCTTTCCTAATTACAGACAGGAAGGATGGCAAAAGTGCTAGGAGGTGATCTAATGAACGAATCTGAAGTATTTCTCCAGTTTTGTTTTTAGGAGCCTGCAAGCTCCTTTGTGACACTAGGATAGTGTGTGGGCTTGTGTGGAAAGTTTTAGCAGCTGTGCATGGGGTGAGTGGGGGTGGGGTGGGGAATAGGGGCATGTAGTTATTGTTACCCTAGAAGAGGTCACCAATTTCAGAGTTAATCATCCATTTAAGAAGTCCTTCTCACTGTTTCCTACATCTTCACTTATTCCTTAGACTACAAAGACAGACTCAGCCATGTATGCATGTATGCAAACAAATATGCATACTTAGTACTTCAAAACTCAATAAATGTTGCCATTATGATACCTGAGCCTCTAGATCCACTAGTATTCCTTATAATTTTGGGTTTATAATTCAGAGAAATTGTTATTTGTTTCTTTTAATTCAAATTGTTATGTGCTTGGCCACTGGC